AGGAGGCTGGGAGGGTGCATCACAGCTCCATTATTCTGGAAATGAAAGTGRGTTAAACTGTAATGGCCATTAAACTTCCTTTTCCAACTGCCGCTCCTGCTTCTCATTCAATAATTCCCTTAATGTTTTATCCTAATGGAGCAGAATATTACTATTATTTTATTTTCTCAAGATCACCTGTTGCACAGAAAAGAGGAGGAAGACTGGAGCTGTGGATGGACTATGAGCTCCTAGCTGGCTCTGCATGCTTTTTATTGTTATTATTGTTATTATTGTTATTATTGTTATTATTCTTGGCAGATTGTGCAAAAAGGGCCAGATTGGCGCTTTCATCTCGCTGCCCCTATCTGCATACAGTGACATTTTGCAGGAGGGTGACCTTGGGGACAGTGGCAGGATGGCAGGGCGAGGTGCAGTTTCGGGAACCATCTCTGTGGGACAGGGGCTTTTTCAGCCTCTTTCTCCCGAGATGTTCCCCAAACAACACTTCAATCATCTGTCTGTCTCAAGCCTTGATCTCTTTTAATCGGTGCTGCGATTTCTGCAGGAGACCCTGGGAAAATCTTCCAAGATTTAGAGTGACAGCACTAAAACCGGTTGGATATGGGTCAGAAAAAGTTGCCCGTAGGAGCATTTGCCTGGAATAAAGCTGATCTGTTTTCAAAGGCGGGAGAGTGAAACAAAACACACTTTGCTTTAAATGCTGCTTTTTCATGCCTCGGTGGCAACTTCAAAACTGGTCCAGCCTGAGGCAGGCTCCAGCTGGGAGTGCTTGGCCAGCGCTGGGTGCCCCCGGTGCCAGCACATTCTTGGTGTGGTCAGGCTCCCCTTGCCATTGCTTTGCTTTGGCCATCCTGGTGCGTCCCTGGGGATGGCTGATGGCGGTCCCTGGCTGATCCCTGCTCACGTTTSTGCCCACAGGGAGGGATGATCGCCCTGCTGCTGTCCATCCTCTGCCTGGTGATGATCCTCTACACCCGCCGGCGCTGGTGCAAGCGGCGCCGGGTACCRCAGCCGCAGAAGAGCGCCAGCGCCGAGGCTGCCAACGAGATCCACTACATCCCATCGGTGCTGATCGGGGGCCACGGGCGGGAGAGCCTGCGCAACGCCCGCGTGCAGGGCCACAACTCCAGCGGGACGCTCAGCATCCGAGAGACCCCCATCCTGGACGGCTACGAGTACGACATCACCGACCTGCGGCACCACCTCCAGCGCGAGTGCATGAACGGCGGAGAGGACTTTGCCAGCCAGGTCACCCGCACTCTGGACTCGCTGCAGGGCTGCAATGAGAAAGCCAGCATGGACCTCACACCAGGTGGGCGTGGGCTGAGCTGGTCCATTCAACTTGTCTTCTCTCCTCAGTTTCATATGTGTTTTTTCCCTTGAGCATCTGCCCTGTTTCTTGGGTTTTCATTGGGTGTGAGATGGTGGTGGTCCCCTGAAGGCACTTCCATTGCTGGGAGAGCTGGCAGCSAGTTGAGAGCAGTCCCTGCTGAGTGGGATGTGGCTGGGACAAAACATCTTTGTGGGGAAAGGCTGTGGTTCCCATGGCCTGATGGAGACCCAGAATGGCGTCCCCTCCATACTGTCCCCTCCATACTGTCCCATCATGACCCCAAACTTCCCTTCTGTATCCATGGATTTCTGGTGTCTTCTTCAGGTGAGGTTTTTAATAGCAAAATTGTACTTGCCATCAGTATGATTGAGAGTTAACACTGCCTTCTGATCACCAGCAGGGTCTCTTTCAGGCTTGTGACAAACCTATTCTTTGGCCATATCACTAGCTGAGCCATCCAGCTAGAACCTGGAGAATATGAGACATATTTTGGGAAGGTGGTGGTGTAGTGCCCAAAACTCTCCTGCATATGAAGAAGTGCCCTGAGAGGATGAATGTTAAATCCCAGCTTTTGGCTGGTTTGGTGGAGGTGCCAGTCCTCTTCAGGATTTGAGTTGCCTGTGAGGGTTCATTGCAGGCAGCTCAGCTCATTGACTGCATGACCTGGATCACCTCAGGATGATCTAGAGAAGGATCCAAGGAAATCTTTCTCTCACCTCCCTCCTTTTAAAAAATCTTTATCCCTGGAATATTTTGCCTTCACTTCTTCCTGCTCAGGGAGCGATAAYGCCAAGCTGTCCCTGATGAACAAGTACAAGGACAACATCATTGCCACCAGCCCCGTGGACTCAAACCACCAGCAGGCCACGCTGCTGTCCCACACCTCCAGCAGCCAGCGCAAGCGCATCAACAACAAAGCGCGAGGTAGGGCGGTCCCCGGGGTGGAGGGGGTGCCTTGGGCTTCCACCCCCCACATTCCAAAAACTCACCCTCTTCTGGGATGGAGAAATAGGACCAGAGTTGGGCGAGAGCATGGAAAAGAGGGTTTGAGTGGGGGGAAGCAGCAAATGTGGTGCATGCTAGGGTGTAAATGACRTTGGGCTCATCTTTGTTGGTTATAAAAGGGTGTTTGCCCCAGTAAATATTTCAGGGTAAAGGCACAGCCATGGGGAAAAGTTGCAAGGTAACCCATGGTGGGGGGTCTGTGTGTGGTGGGAAGGGGAGCAGATGCTGTYCCTGCTGCACCTGGCAGATGAGGCTTCTGGTCTGTAGTGCTTTCCCTGAAAGGGGATGTAGGATGCCAAGGTTTGGGGTGGCATGGTGCCAACCCCTCCATGACTACACTCAGTGTCCCCTGCAGCTGGCTCAGCATTTCTCAACCCCGAGGGGGACTCAGGGACAGAGGCAGACACCGATCCCCAGCTGACTTTCTACACGGACCCCTCACGGAGCCGGAGGCGCAGCCGAGGTGGGTGTGGGCACAGAGGTGGGCGAAGAGCATCGACCCCTCTTGCTTATTTGCCATTGCTTCTCTGGTTTTGGAGACTTTCCATTGGCAAAACGATGGAAACCCAAGTGCAATCCCAGCTGCCGCAGGCAGGTGCTGGTCCCTGCTCAGCAGCAGGCTGCTGCTGCTCTCCAGTGGAGTTTCTCAGCAGAGGATGAAACGTATTCTGATGTTTTGCTGGAGGCTTCTGCYGGGCACTGGTGTGTGTTAGAGAGAAATGCTTCAAAGGCTGGCCTRGCACTGCTGGGATCTGCTCTGGCCCTCTGCACACACCAGCTGTACGTGCACCAGGGATGGGGACAGCCCCACTGCCCTGCACCATTCCTGTGGGAGGTTTCCTCTTCCCCAGAGGAACATTRGTGTCTGTCTTCCCTCGCTGAGCCTCGTTTGCTGGATAATACCTTTTTTGTCTGGGAGAGGTGAAACTGGGATCCATCTCCTTTAGCTGGTGCTGAGAGGCTGATTCAGACTTTGTCTCCAGACAATTTTTTCCACTCAGCCTCTTCAGCTGAAAGATCAAAAGTCAAAGACCTGCATGCCCTAAGTGATYAGGGCTCTCTAGTGCTTTTTAAAAAGCATTCATGAGTCTGTTGTCATGACAAAATTAACACAAGTGAAGTGYCAAGGGGTGGGGAAAACTAAGATACTGCATTTACCTTTCTTTTCCTCAGTATCTCTGCTCTGCTTTAAAGCTCTGCTCTGCAGAGTTCTCAGTATGCTGCAGTGCAGGGTGTGAGAGAGCCAGGGCTCTGGGGGATCAGGAAGATCCTGGTAGAGTGGGAGGGAGGGATGGAAGGTTCCATGGTAAAGGCTGCTTCATTCTCTTCGAAGTTCCAAGTGACTCCATTTGATGGGATTCATACTGGATTTCCAGGAGCCTGGGCAGGGTCTCTGCATCCTGAGATCCCCTGGCTGCACCAGAAGATCTTCCTGGGTCCTGCAGGTGTCAGGTTTGACTGTGCTTCCATATTTTTGCAGTGGGGTCCCCCCGAAGTCCCGTGAACAAGACCACGCTGACCCTCATCAGTGTGACGAGCTGTGTCATCAGCCTGGTGTGCTCCTCCCACATGAACTGCCCCCTTGTTGTCAAGATCACCCTCCACGTCCCTGAGCATCTGATTGCTGATGGTGAGCACCCCATGGTCTCACCCCTTTCTTCCTGTCCCACTCTGGGGGAAAGGGGAGTGATGGGCAGGATGGGTGCAGGACAGAGGGGACAGGCATGGGGAGAGAGGGCACCAGTGTGGGGCAGAGGGAATGGGAATGGGCATGGGATGGAGGGTGTGGGCTCAGAGGGGATGGCTGTTATGGGATGGAGGGGATGGGTCCATGACAGAGGGGACTGGTGAAAGATGGAGGGTGCCATGTTGGGAGCAAGTGGTGCAGGATGGAGGGGCAAGGCAGAGGTGGAAATGGCTTCTGTGAGACACAGGGCTTGGTGCAGGATGGACGGGGTGGGCATAGGGCCAAGGACACTATTGTGGGTTGGATGGGAATGGATATGGGATGAAATGGACCCAATGGGATGAAATATCCCATCRTGGGATAAAGGGCATTGTGGGACAGAGGGATCAGACCTCAGTGTGGGATCAAGGGGAGGGGCATAGCATGGAGATGGCTGCTATGGGACAGAGGGAAAAGGCAGAGGATGGAGGCAGCTGTCATAGTGCAGACCGGATGGGCACAGGACAGCAGATTCCTTGTGGAACAGAGGRGCTGCTGTGGGACAGAGGGTGCTGTCTCAGGATGGAGTGAACGGGAAGGGAATGGAGGGATCCATCCYAGGATGGGGGAAATATCACGGGATGGAGGGCTCGGTTACGGGGTACAGTGGAACGTCATGGGATGGAGGGGATGGCAGCAGGCTCCTGTCACTCACTGCCCGTGTCTCGGTGGCAGGAAGCCGGTTCATCCTGCTGGAGGGAAGCCAGCTGGATGCCAGTGACTGGCTGAACCCGGCACAGGTCGTCCTCTTCTCCCAGCAAAACTCCAGCGGGCCCTGGGCCCTGGACCTGTGCGCCCGGCGCCTCCTGGACCCCTGCGAGCACCAGTGTGACCCCGAGACTGGTCAGTGCTCCTGAGGTGGGGTGGTTTGTGGGCTCCCCTCTGCTCCAAGGCACAGCTGTGGTGGGAAGGTGCTTCCTCAGCTCCATGTGCAATATGGAGCTGCCCAGTGCCCTGGGGCGGCTGAGGGCTGTGCTCAGCAGGGAAGCACGTGGAACACCTTTCCATGAGTGCCCTCCCAAGTCCCTCATGTCTCTGTCTCCACAGGGGAATGTCTCTGCTATGAAGGTTACATGAAGGATCCTGTGCACAAGCACCTCTGCATCCGGAACGAGTGGGGAACRAACCAGGGGTGAGTGCCCAGGCCTGGAGTGCCCCTGTGCCAGCTGCTGGGCTTCCACAGAACAGAGCAGGGCTTRGTAACTTCTTGGCTGGCAGAGTTAGAGGCACCTCAGTGAAGGGTAAGGACAGCACACAGCTGGGCTCTGTGGCAGGTCTGCAGGAGGCAAGAATTTCTGTTCTTTGAAATAATCTGGAATGGTGTAGAAGATGCTGTTGTCACATTTTAGAGTAAACACCCCCCGGAGAAGATCGAGGTTGTTCCTCCCTGGCTTGTGCACACTATCCTCAGTATCCTGTGATTTGTGGGACTTTTGTTTTGAGTGTGTGAGGCATCAGAGGAGGGCTGAGGTCAGGTTGAGGTCCCCACTGAAAATTGGGAAAATTAAATGCTTTGATACTGAGGCTGAGGGAACAGAGGAGTCACTATCTGCTCCAAGCTTTATATCCCTGGAGGGGATAAAGGAATTTTTTTTATGTTTGAGCAGCAATTTGGCTGTGTATTCCAAACATTCCCACCTCTCTGTGACCCTCAAGGGGGTACTCCATCTRTCCCTCAACATTCACGAGTCTCTGATGTGCAACTGGGCATCTCAGGGGTGGCTGGAGGTGGTGTGTGGATGCCTCCAAATTCAGACATCCCACGTGCACCAATATCTCCAAGCCCTTTTCTTCCCCCCTTGTCTCACTGTGCCGCAGCTGGATCGCTGGTGGCCCTRCACGTGTCAGGATGCCCTCTCTGAWGTTRTTAGTCTTCACAGTGGGAAGAGGAAAATCATCAAAGGCTGGGCTTGGTGTCTCCCCCGCCATGTCACTGTGGGGGATGACAGCAGTGGGAGGCTGTCAGTGCCAGCCAGCCCCGCTGTGTCCCTTTGAACTGGGGCCCTGGGGAGAGCACTGCTCTCTGTCTCCAGCCCCCTCTTTGCTTTTTATCATTTTAAAGGCAATTTAGTGACTAAACCCAGTGTGGAGCACCAGCTGTGTGAGACAAGTTGTTGCTGTGAGTGCCCTGAGCTGGGGTGCTGCTCACAGCACTGTTGCCCTGTGCTGGGGATGTGCTGTGTGGTGTGGTGATGGTCTGCAAACCCCTGCAAGGTGCCACTGCACTGTTTGTTTGGCCAGTGTCCCACAGGGATGTCCCCAGCTCCTCTGTGCCGTCTCCTGAGTCACTGAGCTATGGACTGGGGTGGGTAGGGGGTATTCCCCTGCCAGGGATTTGCCTCTTTTGGGGTGTGTTGTGTTTAGGAGTATCTCACAATGGTCTGGAAAGAACCCACAGCTCCACTCACAACCACACTTGGCTTTGGTGCCAGCCTCTGCCTCCATCAGAGCAGTGTGCTGGGCCCACCACCTTTCAAAAAATCACTTTGCCCATCGAGGCTAGCAATAAAAATGGATAAGCAATGTGGAGAAACATTTGTTTCYTGGGTCTCTGCTTTTCCTTTGCTCCTGGGTGTGTCTCTTGTAGCTTCACCCTCTTCCTCCATGCAACTGCTCTTCTCTAGCTTTTCCCTGATTTAGCTGCTTCACTTTCTTAAGAAGAGAAGCCAAGGGCAGGAAGGACCAATACATTCCYRAAGCTCCCTGGACCTATTTATGTCYCCCGACCCAGCTTTGGTCTCAGCAATGCCCACCTGATAGGTGCCCAGGACCTCCCCTGCTCCTCTGGGGGATTTGGGGCTGCTTTTTAGAACCATCTCCAACCTGATGCTCCCAYAGGGGCCTCCTCTCTGCTTTTCCTCCTGGAACAGCATTCATACCTGGCCAGGGTACGTCTTGTTTTGTGTCTCTTCTTATGTACCAGAGTTGGCTGTGACAAATTATGTGCAGCATTTCCAAAATATTGTTCTGTTTGGGACAGAGAAACCTGTCAGTTCTCTTTCTCCCCAAGGTGCAACACAGCTTTAGACCATGGTGGGGCTGTCAAAGTCCTTTTGCCTGGACTCTCAAGAAGGTTCCAATGTTGCAGTGTCACAATCCTTAGAGAGCCCTCTTAAGCCACTTGAAACCAGGGTCGTTTCGTGTTTCTTCCTTGAACTTGTCAGACTTTTGTTTCATAAAATGGTGGCAGCTGAAACCACACTTCATCATCCCTACCTGCAGCTTCCACTATTTTTAGGGGCTCTTGAAAGCATGTTCACACTAAGCATCATGATGCTGAGGGCAGCTTAGTGTTTAATATGAGGTTTTTTCTGCTCTGCTTTCTGTTCCTGATGTCCAGGTGCTGCTCAGTGCAGCTCCACCTAGAAGGGCTTGTGGTGCTGGAGGTCTCTTCTACAGGAGAGAGACTCTACAGGAGTTTGGCCTCCACAAGGTCATGACTGTGATGAAGTCTCTTTAGTCTAGCAGAATCATCTTGTCAGAGCCTGTTTAAGTGAGTAACTTGTAGCTGTGAGCTGCCATTGCTTTTGGGGTGGAGGTTGAGCTCCCGTGTGCTGTCTTTTGTTGGGCTCATCAGCCCTCTCCCAGCTCTGACTCCATCAGGTGGCTCACCTGAAAGAGATGTCTGCAAATCTTCTGCTCTCTGCCCCCAGGCCAAGGTGAGATCACCTGTGCCTGAGTCATTACTGATCACTGTTTGTCTAATATGCTCCAATATTGGAGTGCTGTGCTGCCACCATGAGCCAGTCCCCAGAGAAACCACATTGGCCCTTGGTCAACAAAGCAGGACCTGGGGGCTCTGCCAAATCCCTCGCGAGCTTGGGAGCGGMGTGTTCTGGATATGACCTCTTCTGTTTTCCCAGGGTGGCATTTTTATCTGAGAACTCATTTCAACCCTTTGGTTTAGCGAGTTTTGCCATTGGTTTGTTTTTATTTACAGCAATGACAAGTTGACTTGGTGTCGGTTCACTCAGTAGCATCTAATTTTGCTCATGAAGGCGAGCTCAGCTTTGTACTTTATTGGTGATGGCAGTGAGAGGCTTTTTGTAATGTGTGTATTTTGGGTAGCAGACTGAGATCCACGCCTCCGCACTGCATCTTTTACCCAACACGTCCGGACCCTAAATCTTCTTCAGTTTTTAAAAAAATCAGATCTTTTTGATCAAGGGTAGCAGATACATTTCATCAGTGCCTTTTTTTTTTTAGTGTGTGTGCTGCTCTTCAGCTGTTTTAAACAAATCTGTTTGGTGCTGTTTGTGTGTTCACAGTCTGTCTCCCTCTTTTGATATGCATTGTTAATTAGCTGTTTTGCAGCTCTTACTCTAATGTTTCCTGAGTAGGATGGGGCTTCTAGCAATCCAACCAGCTCTGCTTCATCTTTGCTTATCAAACCAAATTTCTGTGGTTCTTTTTGTGGTATGACTCGGCCAAAAATCAAATCAGCTCATTCTGCCTTTAGTTAATAAACTGTTACCTGCCTGCATTTGTACTTTTTCATCCCAGCCTTTAGATCCTCACCCATGTGGCTTTCCCCTCCCCACGTGCAGTTCCCTAGGTGCCCTTTTCAGACTCCCACATTGAGATTTAAAGTGCTCTGCATTTAAAGGGTCTTTGTTGGTGTGCTCTTTCAACTTGTAATGGGTTCCACCCTGCTCTGGGGAGGTTTTAAGCCAGTTTAAGGTGATACRGTGAACATGTCAGGCTGGGTGCTCTCATCCTGCTTTAACAGCTGGCAAACTGTCCCACCCCAGTCCTGCTCCCCAGCCTGCAGCTTTACAGATGTTTTTCCCAGCACAGGACCCAAATTAGTGCATCAGCCTGTGCCTGCTCACCCACCTCTCCTCCCTTCCCTTTCCCTCCCTTCCCCATCCTGCCTCTTTCACACTCGGATATCCCCATCCTGGCAGTGCATCTGCTCCTCCTGTCCCATCCCCACTCATCATCCACTCCCCGTCCCACAGAAGAGCAAGGAACACACTGAAGTGACAAGGACAGCACTTTTCCTGCTTAGAGTATTTTTTTCCTCTTTTTTTTTTTTTTTCCTATCCCTTCTTCTGTCTTTTTTTTCTTGCCTCTCTCCATCCCCTGCTGTGTGCTTTGGCTTTGCAAGCTGAAGGACAGCTTGATAAAAAGCTCCTCGTTCTTTCAGATCCTTTCACCAAACCACCCATCCGSCTCCTCCTCCCGCCTCATTCTCCTCGCAGATTTACGGGCAGGCCGGGGAGAAAGTGCCACATTAGCATTTTTAATAAAGAGCTGCCTGCGTGGGATGGCAGGGTGGGGGAGCTGGGAAGGGGAGAGCCATCGGCAGAGAGCCTGGGCAAAGCTGTTGTGAAGCAAAGTGAACTTGGGGAGGGGTTATACCGGTGTTGCTGATGAAAGAAGTCGGCGCTTGGTGCTCTCGTGTGAGGTCTGCTCCCTGCTCTTCCCCCATCACGGTAGTGCTGGGTCTTCACAGGCCCCCACTTTGGAGTCCTGGGGTGCAGGAGTGGTGTGGGTGCAGGAGGGGATGCTCTGCTCTGTTCACSCTGAAGTGCTGMGCTCCAGTGAAGGGGTTGGTAGCAYGTGCAGSTCTCCCCAGCTCTCCCCAGGAGCTGTGCTTTGGTGCCATGATGGGGTGTGGGATGGTCCTTGTGCTGGAAGCCCCGAGGAGCACAGAAGGTCGGGCAACCAGGTGTGAAGTCACCTATTTCAGCGTGTGACAACCGACAGCCTTCTCCTCCAGTGACATTTCAGTCACACTCCTGTGCAGCAGCTTCTTGTGTTTCCTGCAAGGACTCTCTTCTTTGGCCCCTCCAGCCTCCTGCCAGCTCCTCTCAAACCTGCTGCTCCAGGTTAGCTCATGGTGGTCACATCCTGCTGGCAGTGGGCTTATTCCTCATGCCACCCATCTTGTCTCTAAGAGTTCTGCAGGCAGTGAGGACAAGCTGGAGCACAGTTCTTGGTGCTAGAAGTCAGTCTGGCTTTGTCCGCTGGGGGCTGCAATTTAAGCATGTCCAGGGCCTTGCTGAGCTGGTTGAGAGCATCACCAGCAGCACTACGAGAGATTATTTGGAGAGAGGTATTTGGTGAGCTTCCATTCAAGCCCAGATGTAGAGCAAAGCATCCAGATAATGATGCATGGAGAAAAAGCCAAGAGGCCTGAAGATCATCCTGGGGATATACTGGCAGCACCTTGGCCTTGGGCATTTGCTGAGTGTGGGCAATTTGCTGGTTTTCAGGTGCCCTGGTGATCCCGAATTTTGTTGTTTCAGATGCCTACATAAGTGCCAAGGCTTGAAGGAAGCTGAGAGCCATCATTTCTGACCCATTTAATCCAACCTGATCAGCTGCAGAGCTGCTGATCAGTCCCACTTTTCTTTGTGAGCTCTGAAGACCACACAACCAAAATAGCCACCAGGAGCACCCCAAACCAGAGCAGTGAGGTGGCTCAGKGATCACAGGAAGCAGGGAGGGAGGCAGCCACGTGGGGATGGAGACAGCCCTATGGGGACACTCACAGAGGAAGGAGGAGGTGAAAGAGTAGCAGAGGCACCAGGGGCAAAAGGCAGCGATGGGGGAGGTAAAGGTGTGTCGGGGGGAAGAGCTTCCCCTGTCCTTTGCAGAAAACACGAGTCAGCAGGTGTGCATGGATGGAAATATCAGTGATGAGCTCCTGGAGAGCTTCCTTGGACATGAGGATGGGTGAGTGTCTCTCGCTGGGCTGGAGTTCTTGTATGGAGAACACCTCAGGGCCTTTCTGCAGAAGGTCCATGTCCTTGCAGCTCCAGTGGTGCCTGGCAACATTGACACTCCCCTGCCATGTAGGGGTGTTGTTAAAGGCTGAACATGGTATTTAAAGGGCTTTTTCTGACCCCAAGTAAGGGAAAAGTGCAGCAGGCTGGGGATGCCACACAGTCCCTTCCTGCAGCCCAGAAACCTCTTCCCTGGATCAGAGCCATCATCACTTTTTAAAGGGCATGTAGGGTTAGAACCAGGGGTAACAGGTTCAAACTGACTGAGGGCAGGTTTGATTAGATATTGGGATGAAATTCTTCCCTGTGAGGGTGGTGAGGGCCTGGCACAGGCTGCCCAGAGGAGCCTTGGCTGCCTCATCCCTGGAAGTGTTTGAGGCCAGGCTGGATGGAGCTTGGAGAAACCTGGGATAGTGGAAGGGGGTGTGGAATGAGATGATCTTCTAAAGTCCATTCCAGCCCTGGCCAATCTGAGGCTCTATGATTACAAGAATTTTAGCCACATTTGGAAATTGCATCCTGGSTGGACAAAACATGGCCTGGGTGSTGATTTCAGTCTCCCAGGTGAGTCCAAAGACACTGGCTGCATGTCCTGGGTGTGTTGACATCCGTGGGCTCCCAGACGTGTCACCAGGCAGAGCTCTGGCWGTCCCTGTGCCTCTGCAGCACCTGTGCCAGTGCTGAGCTCTGCTGCAGGCTGAGAGCAGCTCTCCACAATCACTTTTTCACCTGAGTTGATGGGGAACAATGCCTCACCTCTATACAGCCTCTGCTTTTGTTCCTGGCCCAACGTTCTTCTTAGAAGCAAGAATAAAACCCATCTGTGGGAGCACTGGAAGGTGGAGGTGTGAAGCATTCAAAGTGTTGGCGTGACAGGAGGAGCACATCTCTTTCTGGACAAAGCTGACCTCATTCAAGGAAATCCAATCTGTGGGCTGAATGTAATCCCCYGCTCCCAGCTGACCAGATGGAAAAACGGCATTGTGTCCCAACAACAAAATGAGAAGGCATGCTGTAATCCTGCAGTCAGGATTTTATATTATTATTATTTTTGTCCTTGCTGAAATAACTTCAGATTAGAAATTAAAGTCCTCGTGCAGGAGAGCTGTAATTGCCACTGGAGAAATTCCCTGGGCTTGTTACTGGCACCTGGCACTGAGTTTTAGCAGCACTGATGTGATGGGAAGGAAGATCTCTTTCTCTCCCCAGCTCCGAGCTCTTGCAAAACAGATTTTGAGTTTTAGGGTTTGGGAGTGGGGTTCACATTGCCTAATTCAAAGCCCACGGCTGTGTCTCTTGTCAGTCTTGCTCTACAAGGGATGCTCTGCCAACAGGGCTGTGGTGCTGCGGGTTTGTGTCCCAAAAGTGTCGTGGCCATGGTGTCCCACCAAAAGGCACCGGCCTCCAAACCTTAGTGGCTCATCATCACCCTGTGTTATCTGTGACAGCAGGGGTGGAGGGGATGAGGCTGTCAGCTCTCCAGTCTCCTGCTTGGCTCCAAGCTTCCATCTTGTCTTCCAGCCCTCTTTGCAAAGCTCCCCTCCTGGAATAATGAAACACAAGGGTCATAAGGCAGGTGGTGAAACTGCAGTCCCAGACTTGATGTGCTCCCTGGTAAAAACCTCACAAAAAGAGGGTCCAGCTGTGGTTTGGTTTTCCTTTTGCAATTTAATAGCTGTGATGCAAATCTCTAGAACAGGACCAGGCAGGTGGGACCAAGCATGAGGGGATGTGGGGATGGCTGGAGTGCACTGTACCCCAAAATCGCAGATGCAATACACCACTGGCCCATTGGCAAGTKGGGCTGGGATGAGAATGTGATGTTRTAGGGACCCCAAAATTAAGATCTTGGATCTGAGGCTATTCTATCCCACTGCCCTGGCTAGGTTTAAGTTATCTTACCCTAGGATGCTTCTGTGTGTGAGCTGGGGGCTCAGCAGGGGAGTGTTTTGGGCTGTGAATGGCAGTGGGGACATGATGCTGGTGTGATGCTCCTGTGTTTCTTTCCAGGCCTTGGCCATACACTATCTTCCAGCGTGGCTTTGACTTGGTGCTGGGCGAGCAGCCATCTGACAAGATTTTTCGGTAAGCAGTGAAGGAACCTGCTCAGCATGTTTTGGGGCTTAAATACAACTCAGGGCATACAGGCATGGAGATGCCCCAGCTGGCGGGGCTCAGCACAGCTGTCCTGTGCCACCTCCTGGGGACATGTGAGCATGGCTGGGAAGATCATCCTGCCACTGTCATGTGGAATGCTGGATGCCCAGCAGTCAGTTCCTCCTCTCTGTTCATGGTGAGAGTGAGTTTCAGGTTCTGAAGGAGGATTTCCAAAATGAAAGTGCCTTTTTTTTTTTTAAATTACTCAAGTTACATGTGATTTTTGGGAACCATTGGGGATATTTGGAGGAACCACCCTGCTTTATCCTGCCCACACACCTTAGTTTGGGCTGGCAGGGCACAGGGGAGGCTCAAGGGTTTGRTTATGGGCAGAGACAGCTTTCCAGGCTCAGCATTTCCTTCTGTGCCAGCCTTTGCTGCTCTCCTTGGCAGGTTCACCTACACCCTGGGGGAGGGCATGTGGCTGCCCCTGAGTAAAAGCTTCGTCATCCCACCGGCCGAGCTGGCCATCAACCCCTCGGCCAAGTGCAAGACTGACATGACGGTGATGGAGGACGCAGTGGAGGTCAGGTAGGTGTGGCAGTGGGGTGAGGGATTTCGGGAGGTGTTTCAGCAAGCAGAGCTGGGATCCCCATCCCACCTTTTGCAGGTGGAGATTAGAACATCCACTAACCTGCCCATCTTCAGTTCCTGAAATGCTGTGCCTTTGGTAGCATTTCTCATGTCAGTAGCTCCTGCATCCTTCTAAAAGCTTGGCTGCCATCCAGTTCACTGTCAGCCCAAGGGAAACCTGAGCCCTGGAAAAACCCCCGCTGCAGTCATGGTCATGCACATGTCCACAACGTCTCATTGAAGCAGTGACACTTCTCCTCCTCCTCCTCCTGTCAGGGAAGAGCTGATGACCTCGTCCTCCTTCGACAGCCTGGAGGTCCTTCTTGACTCCTTYGGCCCCGTTCGTGACTGCTCCCGGGACAACGGGGGCTGCAGCAAGAACTTCCGCTGCATCTCGGACCGCAAGCTGGACTCCACGGGCTGTGTGGTGCGTGGCCCCCAGGGACCTGCGAATCTCCCTTGGTGTGAGCAAGGAGGGGGAAGCCAGAAAGGGAATCCTTCATCCCTTACGTCACTTCAGGGTGGATATTTTGGGGTTGATTTGGTAGCAGGAAGATGTTTTTGGGCCAGCATCTCCTCTGTTGCTACACACACACACACACACAGAAGGGAGTAAGWGTCCATCTGCCTGTTGGCTCTGTGRGAGGCTCCATGTCACTCACACRTGTGCCCTGTCACCACCACAGCTGCTCTGCCCCAAAATGGGGTCTGTGGGGCTGGCGTGCACTGCTGCAATGTCACCAGAGCTGGGCATTGGGGTGGAGAGGCTGTGAGTGTGGGGCAGACAGTGGGTTTGTAAAGGGCAGTGCTGCTTTGTCAGTCCCTGGAGCTGGGCTGCTGGACAGTGGGATTGAGACCAGCACATTGAGACCAGCTTCAGCAGGGGATGGCTTGGTGGGCTCCCCCTCGGGGGATAYACTCCCGAGGGCTGCAGAGGGGCTTTGGTGTATCCTTTGGTGTATCTGAAGCTGTGAATGCTGCTGCTGCTGTCCTTCCTGCAGTCCCTGAGCACTGCTCAGGCTGCAGCTTCCAGTGGAGAGCACTGCCAGAGCCCTGCCCTCTACCCCAGCTCCAGAGCCGCATTTCTTCCAGGGGTTTTTCACCTCTTCCTTTCCCCACCCCACTAGTGCCCGACAGGACTGAGCCCCATGAAGGAYGGCACGGGCTGCTATGACCGTCACGTCGGCGTGGACTGCTCCGATGGCTTCAACGGGGGCTGCGAGCAGCTGTGCCTGCAGCAGATGGTGCCCCTGCCTGAAGACCCCCTGCTCTACAACATCCTCATGTTCTGCGGGTGAGTGACTGTCCCTCCTGGGCACAGGGACACCCCCGGGGTGCTTGTAGGGTTGGGATGGAGGGGTCTCCTCTGCTCTCGTGGCTGTCCCACTGTGGGGGCTGCAGCTGACTCTGTGCTGGCTCCCCAGGTGCATTGAGGACTACAAGCTGGGCACGGACGGGCGATCGTGCCAGCTGATCTCAGAGTCGTGCCCCGAGGTGGGCAACTGCGGCGAGCCCCGCGAGCTGCCCATGAACCAGACRCTCTTCGGGGAGATCTTCTATGGCTACAACAACCACTCCAAGGAGGTGGCACCAGGGCAGGTGCTCAAAGGGACGTTCAGGTGAGTTGCAGACGTGGAGAGGGGATCCCAGCAGGGTCCTCACCATCTTTTTCACAAAGTAGGCGTGGGAAGGGCACATCAGACACTTCCCATCAAGAGTAGACATGTTTCTAATCTGTGCCGAAGGAAAGGCTTAGTTCCAGGTGTTTTTTTGGGATGAGTCACTTGCTGGTGGGGATGATCCCAGTCATTTCTGCTGTCCTCCAACCTTGCTCTTCCCTCTGCAATTAACTTCCAGGCAGAACAACTTTGCCCGGGGCCTGGAGCAGCAGCTGCCAGATGGGCTGGTGGTGGCCACAGTGCCCTTGGAGAACCAGTGCCAAGAGGAGCTCTCTGAGCCCACGCCCGACCCTGAGTTCCTCACTGGTGAGTGAGTCCAGCTGGATTTGTGTCTTTCCCAGTGAGGCAGCTGCCAGCACGTCTGGCTTCAGCACCTTAAACCTCCCAGGGGATATATCTACCATGGGATATATCTACTGTGGGATAAATCTACCCTGGGATATATCTACCATGGGATATATCTACTGTGGGATAAATCTACCCTGGGATATATCTACTGTGGGATAAATCTACAATAGGATATATCTAGTCTGCCTTTAGCCTAATCTGCTCATCTGCACATAGAGGAAGCAGCAGCGTAAGAAGAAGGCATTAAAAATGAAGGAGAGGCAAAGGCTTTTAATGAATTGTGTGGTGTAAAAACTCAAGCATTCATCAAATACTTGGGGAATTTGCAAAAGGATTTTTTTCTTTTTTTTGAGGCAAAGAAAGTTTTCCAACTGCTTTTGTTTTCTTTGCTGATGAAGTGAAGCATTCAAAACCTGGTGCCAAAATGTTCTGGTTTGCCATGCCAGACAACATGGGCCATGAGCAATAGGTTATCGTGGGTTCCTAGGCAGCCCTCAAGGATTTGCCTTTTTTTTCAAGTTGCCAGCACCCATAACTAGCCTTTGTTTGGTGTTTGTTGCTGTTGGCCAAAATGGCCCAGACATGGAGGAGCTGTTAAGCATGGGATGTGTTCTAGAAAGGTGTTTTGGTAYCATACCAGGCCTGGTGCATGCCCTTTGTCTGGCAGAGCTTCCAGGAGGATTTTGGGGAGCACCAATGGGCTGTATCCAGGTCTGGGGGATGCTGGCTGCCCTGACAGGGTTCATGTCAATGAAGGTGTGTGTGCAGGCAGATTCAGCAGGGAAGAGGGTGTTAGTTGGCCTTGGGGGTCTGAGCTACCCAAGGAGAGCAGTATTGGGGGGGTCACTCGTGCTTCCCTGGGGATGCTCAGCCTTGCCTGGAGATGCTGGAGGACACCTGCCTCCCAGTGGGGCTCTCCTGCCTGTGACATGGTTACCTGGATGTGAGGAAGGCACTGCCAGCACGGTCCCAGCACCACAGCAGTGTCAGTGGGACTGGGACTTCACTGGCAATTATGCTGGGGAGGTAAAAGCTAGTGAATTATCCGATACATTTCCCACTGCTCTGCTGGCTTTATGGCTGATTAAGGCAAAAAAAAAAAAAAAAAAAAAAAAAAAAAAAAAAAAAAAAAAGAAAAAAAGAAAGGAAAAGAAGTAAAATATTCAAATATTCTCTGCTTGTCAGAAGCAGATCTGGATATCGCTGTGAATACACGAGAGGCAGAGCTGCTGAGTAAGGAGGGCTGTTTTTGCATAAACAATTTGCAGGGAAGAGCCAGGCTTTGAAGCTGTTGGCAGCAGCCAGCTCCGAAGAGAGAGAGGCGCTGGAAGGCAAAGGATTTTACCCTGCTTATCCTCTGCCTTCAGTTCTTGCTACAGAGGGGGGAATGCCTGCTGTGATCCTCCCAAACTCCTGCTGGGTGCCTGTTTAGCAGCAGAGTTTGCTGCTCTGCTGCTGAGCAGAGGCGTGACAAGCTGGCTGTGCGAGGAGGTGGCCTATCCCAGCACCCTGCTGTGGCACACTAGGAATGCTCTGCTCACCAAACTCAGGGCCACAAGCACCCTTCAATTCCCTTGCTGAGGCTTTGTCTGAGGCTTGTTTGGGCTCTCTGTCCCTCTACTCATGGAAGCTGAGCTGCAGGAGTAAGCGGCCACCCAGCCCATGTCTCCATGAATTTCTGGCTTCTGTAACTTCACAGTTAAATGGCTGAAGAATGGGATGTCTTTGAAGGAGAAGGACAAATCCTGGGTCCTGTTCACCACCAGCACTGCCATAATGTCCTGAGGGAACATTAGCATCAACAGGCGAACCATTTCCCCCGTCCATCTGTTGCCCACTCAGCTCAGACTCAGCTCAGACCCATCCACGAGGGACCCAGGGCCTCTTGGCCGGTCGCASTTGAGCACATGTGGCGTGACGGTGACCATTCCCAGGCCTGCAAACAGCTCATTAAGAAGCACAGCTCTCATTAGTGAAATAATGAGCACACCTGGGCGTGCCTTGGGAGCGGGCACTGGGAAGGAGGCAGGAGGGGATGCAGGACGAGGCTCGTTATCTTCCAGCGCAGAGCCCTGGACACAGGATGAAATGAGCCGACGTGTTTTCCTTCAAAGCCATCCTTTTAATTGCTGGGGACCAGCTGACCCTTAGCTCTGAATGCCTTCCTGGGGGCGTGTGGTGTGTGCTCAACCCTTTTCTTTGGCTTCTTCCCACCTTGCTGGCTGTGTTGCCCCAGTCTAGGCATGAAGGGCTGCGGCCATCCCCGTGGTGAGGTGTCACTCAGCCGTGGCATTGAGCCCCATGTCCTTTGTCTGGCAGGGATGGTGAACTTCAGCGAGGTGTCTGGGTACCCCCTCCTGCAGCACTGGAAGGTGCAGTCTGTCATGTACCAYGTCCGGCTCAACCAGATGACCATCTCCCAGTGTAAGTGTGCAGGGACAGGGAAGATAAGGGGAAAAGGGATGGCAGGAGGTGACATAGCCTTCTGCTGGCAGGGGATGCGCTCAGAGATTGGCTCCTATCACAAGTGGGCAGGGAGGTGGTGAGGGCTTGGCGGGCTCTGGGATCTGAACACCTCCTTTATCTCCTTCCCAGCCTTCAGCAATGCACTCCACTCTCTGGATGGAGCCACTTCCCGTGCAGATTTTGTGGCRCTGCTGGACCAGTTTGGCAACCACTACATCCAGGAGGCAGTGTATGGCTTCGAGGAGTCCTGCTCCATCTGGTATCCCAACAGGCAGGTCCAGCGGCAGCTCTGGCTGGAGTATGAGGACATCAGCAAAGGTAGGAGCCCTGCTTATCCCCGGGGAGGGTATTCATAGCCACCCCATGACAGTGGGAAACTGGGTTTGCTTTTAGCATAGCAAGGAAAGTGCCCAGCCAGTGTCAGGAATGTGTCCCACCTCATGGTCTCACTTRCACCCTGCTCCTGCAGCCTTTGAGGCTGGCTGAAGGAGTGCCATGGATTGCAGCAGGTGCTGATCCAGGCCAGAAACAAAGATCAATACCCCCAGCCCCAGGGAGATGAAAGATGAGTGCACCAATCTCATCAAGCAATKCTGCCTCATTCTGGACTGAACCGTTGTCTTTAATCCTGTTCTTTCCTTCCTTTTGTCTTTGCCGTATCTCTCTCTTCCACTTGCATCCAACAGCCAGACTTTTCTCCCTCCAAATGTGTTTCCTTCTCCTGGGCTGTCAGCSCTGTATTTAATGCCTGGGAAGCAGTTAGGAGCTTGGAGGTTCCCTGTGGTACAGAGGGCACCTGGCACGGCTGCATCCCCTCCGRTGCCATGGTGCAGTGAGCTGTGATGGATCCCCAGGGGGAGAGGTGATGCCTGCTTTGAGTGGCAGCTTTACAGAAGCTGAAGCAGCCCAACTCATGCCTCCTGCCATCTGTCCCCAGGACCATGGCAACCTGCTCTAGTGGAAGGTGTCCCTGCCCATGGCAKGAGRTTGGAATGAGATGGTCTTTAACATCCCTCCCATTCCAAACTATTTTTGGATACTGTGATTCTACCATCTCTGGTGCTGGCTTCAGCAAAGCTGCCTGCAGGCGTTTTGCTGCCTATGCTGGGGCAGCACCCAGGCTTGGGCAGCTAACAATTCCCAAGCCTGAACTTGGGGAATGCTGAGTGGAGCTGCTGCTTTTTAGATGACCTTGGTTTGCTGCTCCTGCCCAGGAGTTCCCAGGTGCAGGTGCTGTGAGCCTGGAGCTCACAGGCACCATGACGGACACATCATTTCCATCACGAATCTTCCTCATTCTCAGTATTGGCACCAGCCTATGGTGCCGCTCTTGCTGTGCCCCAGCCACAGAGACATTTGTTATCTCCCCAGGGCTCTTGTGTGGGAAGGGCTTCTTTCACAGCCCGAGTCTGGATGCTGTGGGCTCAGGCCTCCTGAAGCCTGGACTTCTTCACAAGCCCACCTGGGAGAATACAGCCCCATTGCTGTTGTGCTGTAGGCAGTCTCCAGATGCAGCATCTCTTGATTGCAAGTACTTTGTTTTTYCTCCTGCAATTTCCTCCTCTTTGATTTTCCTGCTTGGAGGCTTTTCAGGTCTGGCAGCCTTTTTCCACCCACAGTATCACATTTCGGTTTCTCTCTGGCACCTGCCACTTTCTCTCCTTTGCTTTTTGTTTGCAAACGTCAGGGGCTGGATATCGATTGAGAAATTGCAAGAGACAAATCATTCCCTGGCTCCTCTGCTTTTCCTTGATGCCTGCCAAGCTGCAATTCACAGCCAGCCTAAAGTGATCCATCTCCAGCTTCCTGGGGGAGCGGAGTAATACTTTTGTATCCCAGGTTTTGTTTAAAAACCTTGTTTTCTTCACAGGAGTCTCAAGAAAGGGCTGGTGCTGGCCCATTTCTCCACAAATCCTTACTATAGGGAGCTTTTTCTTTTGAGCCACGGATGGGCTCTGTGGTGGCTCCCTACAGCATGTCACCAATGTAGTGGTGGCCTGAGCCTGCCCTGGGGGTGAGGCTTTGCCTGGTCATCCTTCAGCTTCCTCCAGCCCCACCAACCATCCTCAGTGGTTCCACTATGCCCCYCTTTCTTCTGTGTAAATCCAGGGCCATCTTTTTGCAGGGATGTGGTGTGAAAAGCACTGTTTCCCTTCATGGCAAGGCTTGCCATGGCAGYGTGTTGCTGCCCAGGGCACAGCAGTGATGGGCAGATTTTACCTTCTTSACTTCTGTGTTCCTCTCACGCCAGCATATTTCCTGCTGGGGGAATGCTGGACAAAAATGCACTGAGTGCAGGGTCTGGCTTGCTGCCCCATGCCTTGGGAACACAACAGCACCCAGTGTCAGACATCTTTGTGCAGAGCTGGCAAAAGCATCGACTGTGCCGGTGCTTTCCTGCTGCAGCGTTGTTTTCTGAGTCTCTTGGGTTGCAGGGTGTCCTGGGGTTGGCAGGGTAGAGCCTGTTCCCCATCTCCATTTCCCTGCKTGGGGACTGAGTGTAGGAGGGCTGGGGGGCTGTAGTGGGGTTTGGTGATTCTGTAGCATCCTGGGAGCTTTCTGGGCATCGTGAGGCACTGGCAAACCTTCCCTGCTCACTCTGACACTCTTCCTCTCTCGTCTCCAACACACTCTGTCACATCAGTTTCGGCTGGGATCTAAAGGAGAGGAGTGGAGAAGCCAGTGGTAGGGCCAGAAGACTTTTGCAGGAGAGTGGTTTGGCAGGGGGCTTTGGTGGGTGCCAGTGTGATGTGAAGGTGCCCAGGCAGGTCCTTGCGAGTCTCCAGCCRCGTGGAGGAGGCTCCCTCTCGTGGGGACCTGCTGCAAGAGTGGTCTGTCCCAGTCCTGGTGTAGGCATGGAGCTGGGGAAACTGAGGCTCTGGGAGACCAGAGGACATGCAATCATAGAGGCCAGGGTGGGCTTTTCAGTATTGATTCCTCCTCTGAAGACCAGTGAGCGTTGCAAACAGCTCTTAGGGATGCAGTGGGCTCCTGGGAAGCGCTGCCTCTCTCCTGAGTGGAAGGCACAGCTCTAACCCCCTCATATTCCATTATCAATGGCTTGGAGCACCACCAGTGCCCCTTCTTTCCCCCTTCCCCAGGCAACTCCCCCTCAGACGAGTCGGAGGAGCGGGAGCGGGACCCCAAGGTGCTGACATTCCCCGAGTACATCGCCAGCCTGTCCGAGTCGGGCACCAAGCGCGTGGCAGCGGGCGTGCGSATGGAGTGCCAGAGCCGCGGGCGCTGCCCCTCCTCCTGCCCACTGTGCCACGTTGCCTCCAGCCCCGACGTGCCAGCTGAGCCCATCCTGCTGGAGGTCACCAAGGCAGCCCCTCTCTACGAGCTGGTCACCAACAACCAGACCCAGCGGGTGAGGAGCCATGTGTGGAGGGGAGGGTATGGGCAGGAGGGGTGGCAGGACAGCGTTGTGGTGGCCTTTGGAGGCAGCTTGCCCTGATAGCATCGTGTGATAGCTGTGGCAGCCCTTGGCCATTGGCCAGCCCTGTTCTCCAGGGTGGATGGAAATGGACTGTGCCGAGGCCACCAGGGGATGGATGAACTCTGGTACAAGTGGTGGCAGTGTGAGGGCTCACCTGAGGTGCTCAACCCCTTCTCCTCTCTCGCAGCTGCTGCAGGAGGCCACCATGAGCTTGCTGTGGTGCTCAGGCAGTGGGGATGTCATCGAGGACTGGTGCCGCTGCGACTCCAGTGCCTTTGGGGCTGACGGGCTGCCCACCTGTGCACCGCTCCCACACCCCATGTAGGTGTCCACGTGTGCCCAGCCTGGCTCTCTGCTGTSATGGGTCTGTTAAGAGCTGGTGATGGCTGCGGTGTCAGGATGTGGTGGGGCTGGTGGCTTTATGGGACAGGTTTGCAAACTGATGGGTGACCTGGAACTCAGGCAGGGAGTAGAGTTGTGGTGTCTTTTCTAAGTTCAGCTGAGGGCTGCAGAGCTGGTTGTGGATCCCTCCTGGTAAAGCAAACCCAGGGAATGAGTCCTTTGGACCAACATGCCYGGAGCCAGGAGGGCAAAGGGAGGGGAAGTCCCTTTTCTCCTGAGGCTGCTGTCTGCTGTGAGTTAATGGCTTTGAATCCCTTTTGTTGTGAGATAGTAATGCAAAAATTGTCCCCCAGCCTGCGTCTCTCCACCGAACACGAGCCCAGCAGCACCCTGGTGGTACTGGAGTGGGGCCATTCAGAGCCCCCCATTGGGGTGCAGATCGTCGACTACCTCCTCCGTCAAGAGAAAGTCACTGACAGAATGGACCACTCCAAGGTGGAGACAGGTGAGTGGGGGCTCCGCTGCTTCTCTGGGGAGGGTGGGATTGAGATGTTGGAAGAGACCCTCTGTCTCCTTCTTTGTGCAGCAAATCAAATACCCTGTGGAAGAGAGAGCAACCCTTCTCCTTCTCACCATGCTGCAGAAGGGGCAGCTCCACACCATGGGGATAAGCTTTTCTGGAAAAGCAGTGGGTCCAATTTTACACCAACTTTGTGCATTAGCCTTGGTCTCCCTTGGCACCAGGCAGCGTGGTGGCAGGCACACCCCAGGGACACCTGTGTCACCTCCCAGTGGCACATCGTCCCCTCTCTCCCTAGAGACGGTGCTGAGCTTCGTGGATGACATCATCTCTGGTGCCAAGTCACCCTGTGCCATGCCAGCCCAAGTGCCTGACAGACTCTCCTCCACCATCTCCCTCATCATCCGCTGCCTGGAGCCTGACACCACCTACATGTGAGTGCCCCGTGCCTGTGCCTGTGCCAACACCCTGACTCTGGCCATTCTGTTTGATGCCACCTGTATTTCCGTGAGGTCTTGCGAGTCCAGAGTTTCATTTCTCTCCCTTCTCATCCAGGTTCACACTCTGGGGAGTTGACAACACAGGAAGACGTTCCAGGTCCAGTGATGTGACGGTCAAGACGCCCTGCCCTGTGGTAGATGATGTGAAAGCTCAAGGTGAGCTGCAGGGAGCTCAGGACTGGCAACARGGAGTTCCCCCTTTCAGCCTTTTCCCACGCATGTCTTGTGTCCTGGCTGTGACATCTCCTTCACCCACGGTGGGCCGGGAGCTGCCACATGGTGTGGGGGGCTGAGATGGGGGGCTGCAGGAGGCATTCGTCCTCTCTGAAAACAAATGTGAATAAATGGTGTTTCACTAACACCACCTGATGGCAGCACCCATTTCTTTTCCTAATTAGACCCAACTGTGGGAAGCTAACCTGGACTGAGTCCAGGAAATGCCATCTAGTCTGTTGCTGCTCYGTTGTGACCTTGTCCTGATATGATGTAAACCATAACTCAGTGGGAAATCTTGGTTCTCGTCTTGGTTTCCCTAGAGCTGAGTTTTAGCCCTGGTGGGCTTTATTCCTGCCTTTCCTTGCACCCCACTGAGCACCCCCTGTCCTTCTGCCCAGAAATAGCAGACAAGATCTACAACCTCTTCAACGGCTACACAAGTGGCAAGGAGCAGCAGACAGCCTACAACACTCTGCTGGACCTGGGCTCCCCCAGCCTCCACCGRGTCCTTTACCACTACAACCAGCACTACGAGAGCTTTGGGGAGTTCACCTGGCGCTGTGAAGATGAGCTGGGGCCCAGGTAGGCTCGGGAGCTGAGTTGGCTGGGTGGGCAGGCTTGCCCACCAGCAGCTTGTCCCTCATGGATAGGCATGGAAGGCATCTCTTTAGCAAATCTCATTATATGATGGWTTATAGACCTTGGAGTGTCACAGTGTTTTTTTGTTTTTCTGGATGCTGTGCATACGCAAGGATGGTTAACATAGGACAAGGTGGCAAGTGTTTGCCATCATCCTTATCCATCCCATCATCCTTGTCCATCCCATCAGCCCTACACTGTCTCTAGACTTTGGCTTAGTATGTTCATGCTGTGCAGAGTGGCAAAGGGATAGGATCCTCTTTTTCCCTTGGTAACTGATGCCATAGGCAAAAAGGCAAAAGGTCTTGGAAAGATAATGCACCTTTGAGGGATGGACTCTGCTTTCTGCCTTTTCCTGGTCTTTGACTTGAGTTGAATGCATGTCTGTGTGCTGAACTCACTGCCACTTGTGGTCCCCAGCAGGCAGAGGGCTGACTTTAGGTCTGGATTGCGCATTTCCTCCCTTTTGATCCACATCTGTGGTTGTGTGAGGGTGACACGAGTGTTTTTGGTTCCCAGGCATTGCTGTGCTGCCGCAGCAGTTTTAGGGTGAGGTTGTCCTGAGCTCTTCCTGTCTAAAATAGTTGCTTTGTGCCTGACTGAGCACCATGTCTTCTCTTCGGGCTTCTCCAGGTCACTGAAGCCCCTTCAGCTGCCTGAGGATGTCTCAGGCTTGTGGAGATAGCCAGATATTCCCTTCTYCCCATGTCCTTCAACATCTGCTTCAGTCTGCGTGGTTTCCCAGTAACATAGACATTTCCAGTCMGTTTGGCAAACTGGGCTGGGAGATTGCGTGAGCTGCAGTGGTGTTTCACAGCATCTGGCCTCCAAAGAACCGGAGCTGTGACCTCATCTGGAAATCAGGATTACTTTCAAATGTATGGCAGCAACAGCTTCTCTGTATGAAATTCATGGCCTCCACCTTACACTTTGCCTCACAGCTCCTCTTGCTGGTGTCAGCACTGGCTGTCTCCCAGCCCTGCTTCTCCAGGTGATCATTTATGTATTTCTGGCAGAGGACAGGAGATCCTCCATGTTCATTCTCTGTCCTTCAAATCTCTGCTAGGCATTCAGAGAGACTCAGCAAGTAGTTTGTGCTTGTCTTGCACATAGTGTGTTGGAGTTGTCTCCTGGTACAGCTTTGGTGGGAAACTCCCAGGAGATCCTCCATGCCGTGGGGTGAAGCTGGCATCTCTTCTGTCTTGTCTTTTCCTGTTTGTGTCCTAAGAAATGTGAGTTCTTTGAGGCACAACCTCAAAGCTCAGTAGAAACATTCCAGCACATTTTTAGGGCAGAGGCTCCCACCAGCTCCTCTGCCCAGTTTTGCCTCACTCCCACAGCACTGAGTGGGATCAGCAGCCTTGCCCTTAGGTCTCACCTTTGTCTCGATCCCAGCTGTGGTGATGCTGCWCTGTCTCCGTTTCCAGATGTGAAATCCAGCTCTGGTTTGCACAGCCCATCTGACATCTGTTCTGGTGATTTGCCTGGAGAGTACATAAAATGCCTTACGTGACAGACTGGAGTCGTCACAGAGGCTGAGTGCTGCCGCTCTGCTCTCAGCCCCACTGAGGAGACGGAGCACCAGCCAGAACGGGGTGGAAGCTGCCTCCTCCAGCCCCATGAGGTAGAGGTGCCTTGGCATGGARCAGCCAGAAATACCACAGAATTACCCAAAGGATACCGTTCTGCTGTGTGAATCTACGAGCCAGAGGGTTAAATCCACCCTCTGGAAATGCTGGAGCGCTTAGGATGGGATGACGCAAGTTGCTGATGAAGTGTTTGCAGCTCGCACTACTTGGAAAGAGGCATTTAGGCAGCTGCAGCGGGTTCTGGTGATGACAAATCTTGGAAAGCAGACCTCCTGTWTGATCGTCTGTGAGGGCGAAGCACCCAGACTGGCGGTGACAGGACAAATCACTTGCAGATGACATTATTTAGCCAGCAGACAGCGTTACTGATGCTCCTTTGAAGTCCTGGATGCGGACCCACGCGACTGACTCCACCATGKCCCTCCTCCTCCGTGCACCCAGGCCACCTCCTACTCTGTTATTTGGGGTGCAGTCAGCTCCCTTCTTGGCAGGGCTGSCTGCTGGACCAAAGAAGCATAACTTGTCTGAGTGCACAGATAACTTGTCTGAGCTGCAAAASCAAGTCACTCCCTCTCAGTTGAAGGAGGGATGCAGAGTCCCAGTCTTTGCAAAAGGAAAGGAAATGGAGAAAAAAGCAAGCATTAARTGGAAGTTGGATTTGAGGCAAAGCCTATTGAAGTCTGCTGGTGCCTACGGGCTTTGAGCCAAAATCTGTGGGATCATACAGGCAGTCCTGCGAGGGTACCTGTAATGCTGGAGGAAGGGAGGCACTCGTGGTACCTTGCTTAGGTGTCAGATGCAGAGACCAAGACAAGTGAGAGCTTGGCTGCTTTCTCATGACTGGCCAGCTTGGGTGGCTGTGTCCAGAGCCAGCACCATGCTAAGCACCTTTGCCCCTCTGGCATGTCCTGGCCRTGAGCTCAGGGGCAGGGGTCATGTRGCTGCAGASATGGAGARCCTTTCAGCAGCTCCAAACTGGCCYCTTAGAGCTGCAGCCACGTCCAAGCTCTGATTTTCGCTCCAGGAAAACCAGGATTGGCCCTGACTGGATTTGGGGTAAATTAATTCATCTCCAAGCAGCTCTCCCATGGTGTACCCAGCCTGGAGGGAGGTGTGGAGAGGCTGTGGATGTTCCTTCATGGTTGGTACCCTTGAGCTGTCAAACCTCCCTACTTATCCAAGTAAGAATGTCCAGTAAGAATGATTTTTACCTTCAGAATCATGATTTGTGCTTCTGCTGCCTGYTCTGGGCWGAGGAGATGCTGAGTAAAAGCTRCCAAGGGCATGTATCTTCTCTTCCTGACTATTCTAAYCCACCAACTGACCTTGTAGCTGGGTAGGAAACTTATCCCAGCTCTTCAGACACCTAARCTTTTGTCTGAGTTTCCAGACACATGAGATACCTTCAAGATACTTTATTTGAATCAATTGCCTCCACAGTTGCCAGATTCCCTGGATATCACTCAAAGTATGAGATGAGTGTAAAATAAATACAATGTGTTTTATCTGTACAAACTGATTTTCTTGATAAAAACATTAGAAGCACCATTTTAAGAGGAGAAATTTGAAAAGAAGAGAACACAATTTAGGTCATGGGGCCGTGATCACGTTTGACCGTGATCCTCTGTGCTCTTTCAATATCTCATCCAATACAAGGGGATGGTAATTTAGCACTTTCTCACTACCAGGGCAAGCCTGCACTGTGATGCCATGGGTGTGCTGTATGTCTGTTGCAGAAGATGGATTCATCCATCAGAGACCTCCTCTGTCTCTGTCACCTGGCCTTCTCTTGGGGCTTTCTTGGCTCTATGAACTGCTGCTGCAGTGACTTGCCTTTCCTTGTCTTGTTCTCCATGACTGGAAGATRCAAAATGCACATGCAAAGAGCCAAGGAGCTCTGTCACATCCCCTGCTCCCTCAGAGCTTTTTGGATCAAACCTGTATTTGACATATGCCCCTGAATATCGCTTCTGGTTTGTCCTGTGGGACACCTTTCCCAAGCTGTTACTAAACATTATGAGTCCTGTGGCAGGAGTGTCATTCACTRTACTTACACCTTGTGATACTGCATCCCATGCAGATCATGTTTATATCACCTTCAACCTTCCATACAGGCCCTCACAAGCTAGGCATGACGTTCTGATTTGAATTTTTTTTCTTAAATTTGCCTCCTCCTTGGTGTCGTAGCATGTTGGTACCAGCACTGCACATTTCTGGCCCTGGAGAATTGTGAATGCCCCAATCCTGGAGATGTTGGAGGCTGGGTTGGAGCTTGGAGCAACCTGGTCAAGTGGAAGGGTGTCCCTGCCCATGGAACAGGGGAGTGGAACARAATGGTCTTTAGGGTCCCTTYCAATTCAAACCCTTCTGTGATTCTGTGTCCTACTAGCATAGTTCCTAAATACGCAGCACATACACTTAAAGGTGACACTGTTCTGGACTGGCCACCTGTAATGCCTGACACTTTGTAGCATTTCTCCCCATAGCCTATAGGACTGTTGGCTCACAGTTTCCCATCCTGTTATATTTGGGTTCCCATAGCTGCAGCAGTGACAGGTGSTGTCACTTGAGCCCTTGGTGATGGCCCCACAAGGGGTGCTGGGGTTTTCYCAGCTACACCCGCGACTGTCTCCTCAACAAACCCTCAGCAAACCTGGCCTTGTTGTGTGAGGGATACAGGGTGGAAGAAGAAGAGGGACAGGCAAATGTGAGTCCCAAGAGCACTGCCAAGGTGACATGGGCATCTGTGCCCCAGGAAGGGGCTGTTCTCGCAGGCGTTTAGCCTGCAGTGCTGCTGTGGTGATGGTGTGTGCCCCTCAGCCCTGCCGTCCCTTCTCGTCCTGGCAGCACGAGGCTCCACTCAGCTGCTCYTGCATTATCTCTTCTCCCTTAAGGAGCTCCCATGGTGTCCTTAACTGTCTTTACTTTTCTCTCCTCATACATTCCTTCCGCCCCTCCCGCCATCCCCCCGTGGTGTCTCCATCACTCCACCACCCCTCGCTGTCCGTTGCCCCCCTGGCCTCTCCCCTTGCCCGCCATCGCTGCAGGAAGGCTGGCCTCATCCTCTCGCAGCTGGGGGACCTCAGCAGCTGGTGCAATGGCCTCCTGCAGGAGCCCAAGATCAGCCTGCAGCGCTCATCCCTCAAGTACCTCGCCTGCCGCTACAGCGAGATCAAGCCCTATGGGCTCGACTGGTCGGAGCTCAGCCGGGACCTCAGGAAGACGTGCGAGGAGCAGACGCTGAGCGTGCTTTACAATGACTATGGTGACAAGGACTACTGAAGCTTCTGGGCGCCTGCTGTCAGGCTGGCCTTCCCATGGGCATTTCTGAGCGTTTTACAYGGACCCATGGAGGGGGAGGGTGTCACTGTTGTTTCTGAAGGCAAGAATTTGGACTGGGAGAAAAAACATTTGCTCTGTGCAGGACTGACTCAGTATTAGTTTCTTTTTTGACTTTGCCAAAAGCCTTTCTAGTTAGAAGTCTTGTGGGACCCAGTTTTCTTGGTTTTGTTTTATTCATTTTGCCAAGAGGTTCCTCAGCATTGATGGAGAAGGCAAGTTGGGAGGGCACAACCCTCTTCTCCTGCATCAAACCTGTTCTGGCTGTGGGGACTGTCCCCAAGGGTAGGGGGCAGAAGTCATGGGAGAAACATGGTGACACAGCCAGTATGGGAGAGCAGGTGATGCAGGGAACAGGGAGCAGGGCACACAGGTCAGGTTGAGATGCTTTTGGTTATGGCTGAGCTAATCAGCCACTGGATGGCCAACAGGGTTGGGATGGGGTTTTYTGCAATTGTAAYRCATGAGCAARCAAYRGTGCCACYGATGGGCAGAGCTGGCACGGTGTCATCAGCTGGGGCAAAGACACAGGGGCACTGTGACCCCATCTCCTCAGGTTCTTCTGCCATGGTGAGAGCACACATGTGCTTCAAGATATAAAGTCCTCCAGAACAAAAGCAGCTTGGCCTCAGGGCAGGTGGTCAGTGAGCTTCTTGACAGACTACATTGCTAGGAAGTCAACTTTAAAACCCTTTCCATTATCTTTTTTTTACCCACCATAATAAAGACTTTGAAGCAACATCAAGCTGCTGCTGAGGAGAACCCAGCCTAGGGGAACAGCAGCCAGATGGCACAGACAATATGTTCTGCACTAGCCACTTGTAGCTGTGGTGTAGCCCAGGCTCTGTGTGATGAGAGGGATGCAGGGTACCCCAGTGCTGGGGTACAGCATGGTCCTGAAGGTTCTGGTCCCAGACAGGGCAYGGAGAGCAARCTTYTGYGGGTGTTGCTTGCCCATGTTCAAGYTTACATCTGCCACTTCCTCTGGTAACATTTTTTTCTTAAAAACAGAGAGCTGGGGTTGTACTGGGACACTGGGCTTGGTTCGGAGCAAAGGGTTCTCCAAAACTCTGTCACTGCTGACTCKGTTGGAGGCAGAAAACAGGTTCCTTTTAGCTTCAGCTTCCTGCCTGGTTTGCAGAGGAGGCAGCTCTGGACTTGCCAGCTGTGCACCTTTGATCTGGACAAGACTGGAGCCCTACAGTGGGATTTTTATGATGCCTCTGGAGAGAAATTTCTTTTTCATTTTTTTCGGTCTTGGCAGGAACAGTCCTCAGCCTGTCTTATACAATTTTCTGCCTCATTCCTCCTCCTACCTGCCAAGGACATGGCTTGAATATTTGTGTGGTGCTGAGAAGGAGGCGGCTGTGGTCCRCACCCGGTCATTGCCGACAGCGCTGCATCACTGAATTTTCTCAACAGCAGTTCTGTAWCTTCCTGCAGGACCACAAAGTGCTTCGCTCTTTCCTTTTCATGGGCAGACCTCTCTCCAGGGGCAGCTGGCCCGGACTGGGACAGCCACCAGCAGTCAGTATTACCTGGGTGTCCCTGTGTCATTGCTGTAATGAATGTGTCTAGCAGGGGTCATCAGACAGTGGTCTGCTCTGTGCAAAAGGAGTCTCCTGGATCCTTTTGGCTTTTTTTCATATGTTTGTCCTTATATTTTGATGTGCYTGATGCTGCCAAGGGCTCAGGACTCAGAGCAAGACCAGTGCCACCTCCATGCACAGTTATTTATGGGCAGGTGATCTGTACTGAGTCATCGCTCCTTTTCCAGTGAGACTCTTGGCCAAGACACTTTGGTTCATCCTTTTACTTATCCCAGCAGATGCTGAGACAACTTTTAACTTCCAGCTGGGCAGCCCTCCAGGCATGGGCAAAGGACACCTCTGCTCAACACTTCAAAGGGATGCTTGAACGAAGGCTGCTCTGGCCCAGACGCTGGTTGGTTTCTCACCAAATAATACCGTGTACATGGCCTTTCTATGAAATGCAGACTGTTTTCCTTTGGGTACCAGGCTCCTCTCTTTTATTGCTAACTAGGTGCAGCAGCAAGGATGGGAGCAGTGCCATCTGCCAGACACTGTCTACTGTGACACTGCCAGGAAAACCCTGGACACCCCATGCATTCACACCTGCCTAGGTTAGTTTTTCATCTGGCCCCAAGATTTATGCCGAGGCTCTACAGATATTTCTGTTCTACTGCTGTGCTGACACTTCAAAGCTGTTGCATGGGCAGCTAAAGCCCTGCAGCATCATCACTTGGCTGGGCTGGACTTTGCTCCCTGGGCTCTGGCTTCCCCATGGGCTGGGATTTGGAGGCTGAGGGGAAAGCCACCCCTCCAAAGTCCTTTGGCAGCACCCTTGCACAGCTGGATGGGGCTTAGCATCCCCATCCCATGACAGACTGTGCAGGCTCTGGCAGGGCTGGGCTCTGCCACTTTGCCTGCCATGGTGCCCCTGCAGCCACTGTGCCAGCAGCACCTGCCAGTCTGGCACGTCTGTGGGGCCATTCTCATGGTGGCTCTAGCTTTGTGAAGACTTCCTTCTTGCTTTCCTCGCTCTGGTTTTGCAAGTCAGAACCTTGYCCAAGGTTGCATTTTCTTGCCCAAKTCTCTCAGCCACCACAGGAGTCCATCTTAGACAAATGCCAGCATCCACCATGGGGACCGGACCAGAGCTGGGGCTGCTGTAGACCTGGCCTTGGTGGGATGTGTTGTGTGGGGCTTGCTCACCTAACACACATGTGCCCTGGTCTAGTGGAAGGTGTCCCTGCMCATGGCAGTGGGTTGGAATGAGATGATCTTTAAGGTCCCTTCCAAGTGAAACCATTCCATAACCCTGTGGTTCCCTGCAGAGCTGACTCCATCCGCATCTGCTGTGCGGTCCTGCTGTTGGGCCTGCACAATATTTTCTCTCCTGGACTCCCAATTATTCCCAAGCTGCCAGCAACATGAAACTGGACAAGACTGTTTTCCATCCATTTCTGCAACCTTTTTCACCCCCCTACCCTTTCTTTTTGTTTTATTTCTGAATTAATGAGCAATCACTCACCTGAGATGAACCTCTGGGTCATTAACGTTTCTTTGCTGCGTCCGTACCCCTTTAATAGCATTACTATCTTTTACTTGTCGTGGAGTTATTTAACATATAAAGATGGTTTGATCCTTTTCTTTACAAAAATGGCTATGATTCATGTTCCTTGATGTTCTATTAAAACTCTAATGTGACGTTTTACTACTGTAGATTGAAAGTAGGGTGCTTTAGGGTAAGATAGCCATGTGGCAAGAAACACAAAACCCTTCTGGATTACTTCAAAAAAACAATTWAAAAAAAAGGTTTTAAACAACAGCAACAAAAATCATTGTAACACTATGTAAAACTCCAGATCATAATTTAACTGACTATTAAATTGAGCTGTTAGTAATCCCTGGCTCTGGCAAACTGGAGTGTTTGTTTATAGTTTTGGTCCAGTTGATGTCATCTTTGGTCTCGGATGAAACACTCCCAGCCTTTCAACTTGGGTGAGTCTTCACACAAGTTTAGCATTAGCCTGTCTGCCCACTGGGTTAGCCAAGTCCCAAAGCACTCAGCACACACAGATGGAGCTGTGTCCTGCGCCTCGTCCTGCTCACCTGCTCTGCCGGACGTCGGAAAGTGCAGATGTCTGCAGTCACCTTTGGGTTTTTGGGGAAAAAACCTGCATTTTCACATCCTTTGCAAGGTTCTCTCAGTCCTTGATTTGCAAGCCTCCACAGAAGCTGGGAATTTGGAAGCAGAGTCCAAAAAAAGCTTCTTTTGACCGTTCTTTTAGTATATAAYGTGGATGTGATGGTGCTGTCTGGTGGTCAACCACCCCCTGAGAATGTCCTAATCCATCTGGCAGACTTGTGGCAGAGGACTGGCAGCAACATGGGTATTAATGTCCCACAGAGAATGTGAAAACCAGTGTCTGAACAGAGGTGAGATCTGCAAAGGATGCCAAAAGCCGCTTCCATTGCAGTATTGTGTCTGATGGTCAGGCCACCAGAACTTACAAGGGCAGGTCCCTTGGCCAAGCCCAGTGTGTGTTGGCACCTGCCCTGCCAGATGGGTGGGACAGCCAGGGACATCCTGGGATTACTGCAGCCAGACAGACAGAATGCTTGGGAGGACACAGAATTTAGGGGCTGTTGCACACAAATCCATAGGAAACCAGACTTCATTCAAGTCTCATGGAACAACTTGATTTTTTTTTTCTTTTCCTAATGCTATATTTCAGGAAAATAAGCTAAAAATACACCCAATACTTTCCTTCTGCTATTTTCCATGCAGTTAACCAYCATCTCATTGCACAATAAGCGGTGGCAGTGGAGGGAGATGTAAGAGGGAKGAGAAGGAGGAGGAGAAGAARGAGAAGGAGAAAGAGGAGAGGGCCTGTGTGGCAGCAGGGTGTGAAGCTGCAAGCCTAAACTGCTGTGCAAGAAGATCTCAGCATGTCTGGCTCATCACAAAATCTCCTCAGGGGGTCATCTGGTTTGCAGTTCATGGGGGTTTGGAGGAAGCCACCCCAAAAAGGGAGAAGTGGACTGTAAGGGGTGTGTCACCAGCACACTGGTAGGTTTTTTAGGAAGAATTTCGTAATGTGTGTGTGTGGGGGAAGGGTTGCCATTGGCCAGCAGTCCCTGTTGCTCCCCAGGAAGCAGGTGGCAGCAGGGACTGCTCCTTTTCAGGACACCCATAAGTGGTGTGGCACTGCTGGAGCCCAGGTGSCAGGCACTGTGTCCCTGCTGTCCTGGCACTGCCCCATTTCCTGTGACTGACTGCGTGCTCCCCTCCACAGTAATGGCTGGCAAAGCTTTCCAGCCCAGTTTTTGTTGCTGAAAGAGCCACTGCCCTGCTCAGCCATCTATTTCCATCACTTGGGGTCACAGGGGTTGTTGTCTCTTGCCTTGGCATTGGGTGTTTGGAAGAAAGGAGGGAAAGGATGGGAAAACAGCACTTCACTTGGCTGCTGCCACAGACAGCCCTTCATGTCTGTGTGTTCCATGCAAGACACACAACTGGGGTCCTGATTGCTTGGGGCTTAAGAGCCCCTTAATGCTCTGTCCCTCATGGGAAAAAAATCTGGCTCTTCGCCAAAGTGCATGATTTGGGGAGCTTTGCCCTCGAGAGGACATTTGATGTTAGCAGGAGATGTTTTTTCTTCTCTGGGACTGAGTCACTGTGCAAGGACCAGACGTGAAGGAGRGGCCAATGAGGAGCATCAGAGATGGTTGGAAGAAGAGCAGTGGGGTTTAAACACAGGGCAAGGGCTTTTTGGTGTTTCTCAGTCCATAGGTACAAAGTTTACCTGGATACTTTAAAAAAAAAAATCTCCAAACTTTAAAGGAACATTTTTTAATTGTCTTTGGTTTTAACTTTCTTGCAAGGATACCACATGGTCCTCTGGTTGTCAAGTGAGCATCTTCTGCTCGCCATCCCRAAGAGGTGAGGTGTGAGCACACACACACATTTCCCTACATTTTAAGTGGATTAATTATGAAAGGGAATCAGCCTTGGACCATTTTGTAGTACAACCAGCAGAACACATTCAGTAAAAGTGCAGCTGATAGCACAGCAAAAGCTGCCTGGGTGGCAGCTGTGAACTGGGGAGCAGCATTAGAGGTGAGTGTCCCTCCACACCCCTAAACCTGAAGGAAATCTCCAACTGAGCTGAGACTGTTCTGGGAGAATCCGTAGTTTGGGAAGAGGAGAATATGTCAGACTGAAGATGTCAGGAGCAGGCAAACCATMTCCCTGGTCCCCTTTTGGGTGAATCAAGGAGGCAAAAGAGGTGGAGGATGAGAAGATTATTTATTTTTCAAAGATTTTTATAAAAAATAATTATCAAATACAAAAAAAATAAAAATAGCAGCAGCCTCCATTGTGAATAAAACCCTAAAGGGGACACAAACAGCTCAGTGTTGCTATAGAAGAACAATATTTCAGCATGTAAAAGCTGTCTGGTCATGAGAAGCACAAATGTCTACCAGCCAAACCAGCACCTTCCGTAGCACCCCCACCCAATTCCCCTTTCCAGGGGGTACAGACCCTTCCCTGCACACAGGTGAGCAGGCAAAAAATGGGATTTTCATGCCAAAAGGATAAMAATTTGGCATATAAACATGTAGGCATCCAGGTAATGCTGACACCAGGCAGGGAAGGGTTTGTCATGAAAAGATGCTGGGACTTGAAACTCTGCTTGTGCACGTCACACTCATCCCACATCCCTGCTGTCCCCACCCATGGGGAGCTGCTGGAACTCCACTCCTGCTCTGTTGGGACCCCTGGATCTCCCCTTCCCTGCACTGRTGGTGCAGGATAGGCTGCCTGAGCTGCACATTGTGGGTGTGTTGGGCCAACTATTTCTTGAATTTTCTTGGATTGCTTGAGGGTTTATTTTAATTGAAACGTGGATATCTGAAAAATAAAAACATTGCTGCTATCTGCCCAACTGACAGTGAATTTTGGGGTGTTGTCACCTGTGCAGGATGGGAACAGAAATGTCAGTGTCCCTACTGCACGAGGAGATGGGTGTCATTGTCTCCCACCTCTCCTGGAGGTACCTCTCTGCCTAGACCAGGTAGATGGGGACACTTGGGGTCAGGAAAAGGCTGGGAGAAGGACAAGGCATCTCCTGCCTGGTGGGACATCCCGGCACCTCTGCCCCTGCTTGCGCCCTCCAGTAAAACACAGCTGTAGGAAATGCCTGACAAAATAAGATGGGGTAGAGCTAGTGGAAGCCAAATGATGCCTTGAAAATTCCTGGTCTCTCCACACAGTGTCACCCTCTCTCCACCACTCCTTCACCAGACAAGCTGCCTTGAAGCCTATATCCATCAACACAGGCCATGTGGGCAGGACAGAGCCAGACAGCCTGGAGTTCCCTGGTCCCAGCCTGTGCAATGAGTTCTGACCCTGTGGTCCCTTCTCTGCTCTCCTGTCCTCTTTCTGTCCCTTTTCTCTGCCTCTTTGCAGCACAAAACCATCAATGATAATCCCAGCTGGAGCCAGATGCTTTCCCTGTCRCTGCCTTTATGTGGCTAGGTACAAGATGAGCTTCTAGCAGTCAATCATGGGGGAAAAAGTTTCTTGCTGGGCTTCCTGAGGGCCAGAATTGAATCTGCAGATTTTCACTTAGTGTCTGCAGGAGCAAGACACTGTCAGCAATTKTATGTCCAGTGTGAGGGGCTCGGGCAGAGATAATAATACTTCTACTAAGGAAAAWCCCAGTGAGAAAAGATGATGCTCAAAGTCTCCTGACAGCTTATTTTGGTCCATTTGGCATTACAGGGTCTGATCTCCTCTGACAGCTGCTGACAACACAGCTCAGTTGGAGCTCAGACGTGGGGGAAAGAGAAGAAGGACCACCTCAGCCTCCTCCCTTCAAGCATCACACAGCTACTCTGTTTGGCCTCTGTATCCAGCTGGGTGTGCAGTGGCTGGGGGAGTGAGACAGAGAGGGACCATGGTGAGTCTTTGYTCCTTTTGACCATGCAGTGATCTTCATGGACCCATAACCCTGCCCASAGGGCTCTGAAATAATGTGTGATGGATGTGGTGCCCTTGGAATCTCTTGTGCTCACTGGGATGATTCAAGGGCACAGCAACATTTTTTCTCAACCCCACAATCCTGATCCTGATGCACACCCCRGGCAGAACAAGGCAAAGCACTGGCAAATACCAAGGGCAACATTTGGTCCCTGCAAGATGCCCAAATCACCTTGAGGTGGGAGCCTGCACACCTGTAGGGAGCTCTCCTGGCATGGCCTGGATGTTTGGCTTCTCACTCTGTCCTCCTTCCAGCTCCCTCTCAGCAAGGAAGGAGAAATTCCCTGCTCCTCCCGCCCTGACCTACCCAATGGTTTGTACTTCACAGCAGCATGGGTGTGTGATAAAGGATATCCCTTCTCAGCTTCATCAAGAGCAAAAAAAAATATAATATATATTTGTATATATATTATATATATGTATATAGATACAATTAAGTTTAAATATTTGCAGAGAGATCACGACTACTTCGACCTTGCTAAAAGAAGCCTGTACAGCAGAGAGGGGTGAATAGTGACAAAATCCAGAGCAAAGACAKACGCCCAGGAGCCGGACCAGGACAAACATCCATGGCAGCACCTGGGCTCTCGTTGTGGACCCAAAGCCAGTGCGTGGCTGAGGCAGCGCCAGACCCCTGGATGAGCCCCTGGCGTGGGTTCTGGAGGGAGCAGCGATGAGGAGGGGATCACTCGGTGACTGGAGCCCACCCCTCTGTGTGCAGCCGCCATCCCCTGCCCCGCTGTCCCTCACTCTCCTGCCCCTGGCCCCGCTGTCCCCGCAGCTCTGCGCTGCCCCGTGGCTCCTGGGGCGCTGCTGACCCACAGAGGCCCCTGGTGCTCCATTACTGGTTCTCCTC